AGCCCACTTGCCAAAAACTAGCCAGGCATGATTGATCGACAGCCAGACCCACTCCCAGGCACCTCAGCAGCCCCGCCCATTTTCCTGCACAGTGGCCTACCCCGTCTACGTAACCATTCTTTTCAGAACGGCTACCCCCCTCCCTGCCATGCCGAAGCCAAGCCACTCCCTCTCATTCCCGATCGAGGCCGTCCCAGGCAAATCCTGCTAGTCCTTCTCAGGACTAGTAGAACATCCAATCCCAACCAAAACCAACACAGCAAGGAACCAAAATTAGGCGAAAAATTTTCACCACAAGGAACCAAGAATCTAGAATCAAACCACAAATAAACCGACTTCAATATAGCAAGCCAGCAGGCAGCTGAACGAGGTCAAAATTTGACATTTTTGTTTCTATATCCAGTTTCCAGTTTCCAAGTCGCGGAAAAGTCACGAATCAAATGACATACTTACCTATCATCATCCGGGTGCGTGTAGGGTTGCGTCTAGGGCTACCTATCATCATACGGTTGCGCGTAGGGTGTCTATCATCATCATACGGTTGCGTGTAGGGATGGGTAGGGTGTCTATCATCATCATCATATGGTTGCGTGTAGGGTTGCGTAGGGTTTGGGTTAGCGGTAGGGTTAGGGGTGTGGGTTAGGGGAAGGGGTAGGGTTAGGGTTAGATGATGTGAAAATATTCACGTAAGAGGTGGACATACTGGCCGACAATCTGATGCTTGTGGGAGTGGCGCCACTGGAAGTGTGCCAAATATGACGGCAATAGCGCGCGGCTGGTGCCCAATCGGTGGCGAATTGTCCGTGTCAGTAGCATCCACCGTCCGTCGACTCTTTGCGCGTGCATGCGTCTGTGCGCGATTGTAGGGAACTACGGCGTCACAATTGTCACATCTAACGCTACACCTAACCCTAACCCCGAACGCTAACCCTAACCCTACCCCTCATCTATCTTACGCAAACAACCAACCCTACACGCAATAAGCAGCCCTACACGCAACCGTAGGAGGATGATAGACACCCTACACGCACCCGGATGATGATAGGTAAGTATGCCGTTCGTGACTTTTTCCGCGACTTGTTTTGAGTTGTTTTGAGTTTGGCCAAGGAACATAACTCCCACTAAGCCCTGTTAAGCCGGCCGAAGCAGTCCAGCTTACCAGCCAAATTTGCCAGTAGAGCCAGAAATTTTATATACAAATGTACATATCTGGTAATGTTTAAGGCCTAAAGCCAACTTTGAATACTTACCGCTATTTTCAATCAAACGGATGTAACAGATAAACAGAGGACGTCCGGCTGTCGTAGACATGCGCTGTTAATCGGGTTCGTTCCTGCCTTTTTCAGCCATTTATAGCGGGTGAAAATCACACCAATTGCAAAATTTCATGAGAGATTAGGACCCATCCTGAAACCCCAGCCGACATTTCCGAAACAAGTTTTAAACGGTTTCCATGGTAACGGAAATTGCCAAAAAGATCGCAAATTTCCTAAACTAGTCGCTATTTAAAGGTCAATAAGTCACAAGACAAGATGGCAGACAATTTTTTTAGACACAGCCGTAATAGCGATTGCGTGAAAAAATGTCTACTGTAAATCGACTAAGCCATACATAAAAAAAGAAATTTTATATACAAATGTAAAATTGGACGGAGAATTCAATTATAACTAGCATTACCATGTCAAGTAATGTTAAAGCCTAAAGCCAACCTTGAGTACTTTTTATAGCTGGTCAAAATCACACTAATCGCAAAATTTCATAAGAGATTATAAATGTTCCTAAACTGTTCATGTTCATTACATAAGTGTATCATAAACTGTTTATGTTCATTACATAAATGTATCATAAACTGCTCATGTTCATTACATAAATGTATCATAAACTGTTCATGTTCAGTACATAAATGCATATTTACTCTTTTCTTATGGGTTACAGTTCACATACCAGTGCTAGCTTGAGGCCAGTTTAAATTGTTATCTGATTTAGCAGGGTGTTAATAGAAATATCAATCTTGCTTTTTAGATAAGCCTGAGAGAAATGTCTAGATACTTACGGAGACTGCAGGCATTTATAGTTCAGTCACCTGCTTCTCTAAGACACAGGCAGACAGTCAGGTTAGTATTTCATGTGAGCATGTTTTTAACCTCTTAACCCTTTTGTACTGGTGAGGTAGAAAGAAAAAGACAATCCCAAAGACCTTTTTTTTTCTCTCCAAAAATATTGCTCTTACAAAAATCTTTTACACATGTCACAACAAAGATCAAAACAGTTCCATTTATGGACCAAATCTGTATATTTAATTGCATACAAAATAACGAGAGTAATAAGTAAACCTGAAGAGGCAGAGAAAAAAAGCAATTTTTTAAAGAAAATCCCCAGCTAAATGCTATTTTTAGCAACTATGCTCCTTACTGGTCATTCTAAAAAGTTGTTTCGGAGCCACAAAAAAAAATGAAATAGGTTCTGTATGGCATGGCTTCTCATTATTAAGTCTCTAAAGCAGTTTCCTAGTTAAGTCAGCTCTTTCACAATAATTACAGTATTTCTTTGTAGATCAACTCTTACATAATACTTACAATATTTCCCTGCTAAATCAGCTGTTACATAACAATTACAATAGCTCTGTTAGATCATAACACTTACAGTGTTTCCCTGTTAGATCAGCTGTTACATAACACTTATAGTATTCTCCTGTCAGAACAGCTGTTACAAAATACTTACATTATTTCCTTGTTAGAACAGCTGTTACATAACACTTACAGTATTTCTCTGTTAGATCAGCTGTTACATAACACTTACAATTTTTTCATGTCAAAACAGCTGTTACATAACACCGTTACATTTAACTTCCTAAGCCTGGCAAGAATGATTCAACACTTGGCGGCTTTAGGATCATAGCCCTACAAAACACCTTTGGTAAAGTGCTGGAGCAAATAGTGGCTGGTAAGCTACAAGAATTTTTGAAACAGAGAAATCTTCTTCCAGGAGGATTGGGAAGTTACCGGCTGGGAATGGACATATGGTGAAATGCAGCCACTTCTGCCTTTGATACCTTTGAAGGTTTCCAGAACAGACAGGAAACTAGCAGCGACACTTGATTGAGAAGACACTTACAACAGAGTCAGATACAGTATTTTGATAAAAGCACTTATGGAGAAGGGAGTCTGTCCTTGGTTGGTGAACTGGATAGCAGCCGTTTTGTATACTCACCAGGTAGCTCTCCGCCTGGGTTCATGGACTTCTGAACCATGTATTTTAGCTCCAGGACTACCACAAGGATCTGCAATTTTACCTGTATTTTTCAATGTTTTTATGAGCAAGATTGTCTGCCTGGAAACACCTGGAGTTGGTAGAATATTGACATTTGCAGATGCTGTTCTTGTATATAGGAAGGGAAGAGTTACAGGCAACAGTAGATCAGGTGATTGACTGGTGTACAGAGATGAGTGCTGTAATCAACCCAGAAAAGGCAACTGTTCTATGGTGTTCTTTGGACAACAGGATTGTTAGAGCTGATGTTCCGTGACTCAAAATAAATGGCGGGGACATCAAAAGAGACAGCAGACTGTGGTACCTGAGAATCACCTTTGACAGAAGTTTGTCTTTCAGGGATCACATAGAGGGGGTTGTGACAAGGGCTAAAAAAAAAATATAAATGCACTAAAGATTATGGCAGCAATGGACATGGAGCAGAGAATGCTGTTCACACTTTACCAGCACTTAATCATCTCAGTGATTGATTATGGATTGGGGTTACTCACTGTCTCGGAGAATCAGCTATAAAAACTGAAGCGCATACAGAATGAAGCTGTGCGGCTGATCCTAGGTTGTACAAGAGACACCCTGATTGTGTGAATGCGATACAACCTTGCATTGCCAACTAATGCAGATAGGCTAAAGGTGCTGCAGACTATGTCATACTTCAGAGAAGTTACAGACAGGGAACACCCTCTGTATGAAGCTTTGGCTGCAGGCAAGTGTCAAAGGCTGAAAAGGGGAAAATCATTGATGGCTCATGCAGAAGACACAATAAAACAATTATGCATGCTAGAGAACATTGGGTGAGGAGAGGAGTGGGTCAGAGTACCAGCAGAAAAGTCTGACCTGTGTAGGGTTATGATCACATTGGGGCCGGGTGTGCAGAGAGTGGCCAGCGGGTGCTAGAGGTTGAAGTCCAACAGTTGATTCACAATTCACGCCCAGGTGTTCTGATTATCTATACAGATGGTTCAGTGTTGAGAGGAAAAAGGAGTGCCCAGGAATTCGTAGCGAAAGCCAATGGAACATCATCAGTGCAAGACAGCATAGCATATGACACCACAACATCTAGCATGAGAATGGAGGAAAAGGCGATAACTGCAGCTCTCTGGTGGCTAGAGAACAAGATGCATACACATGTCACAATTGTAACAGACTCTAAAAATATGCTGAAAAAGGTGAAGACAGGGATGCTTCGAGCAGAGTGGCAAGATTCACTGGAAAGGTCACAGGTAGTGAGCATACTTTGGACTTTTTTTTTCCAGGCCATGTCGTCGTGGTGGGTAATAAACAGGCAGACAGATTGGCTGGATCCGCACCACTGGGTGGTGAACTGATGCATGGCAAGGCAGATGTGGTCAAGGCTCTTTGGGAACAAACAACTGAATCAGTAGAGAAAGAAGATTATTATGGCCTGGAGAGAATGGGGCACCTGAGTGTAACCAGAGGGTCTGGCCGGCCCACTACACTCATAGGAAAGGCAAGACGGACATTTAACCAGATTGTGACCGGTACCATCAGTATTGGAGCTCTGTGTTGGCTGCTGAAGATGAGGATGGAGCATGCATGGGAATGCCCTGAGTGCTGTGATGTCAATTCTTGACTCAAATCAACTCATTACATAACACTTAACTCTTTGAGTCCCAAGAAACGCATCATATGTTCATAGGTTCCTACATAGAAGCCCATTGAACGCATGATGCTCTGATTTATTACTTTCTTTACTATCCCTTGGGCCTGTGATGCTAAACCCCCTTGGACTCAAAGAGTTAAAGTATTTCTCTGTAGATCAGTTGTTACATAACACTTACAGTATTTCCCTGTTTGATCAGCTGTTATATAACAGTTACCGTATTTCTCTGTTTGATCAGCTGTTACATAACACTTACACTATTTCCCTATTAGATCAGCATTTACATAACACTTATTATATCTCCCTGTTAGATCAGCTGTTACATAACACTTATTATATCTCCCTGTTAGATCAGCTGTTACATAACACTTATTATATCTCCCTGTTAGATCAGCTGTTACATAACACTTACACTATTTCCCTGTTAGATCAGCATTTACATAACACTAAATATATCTCCCTGTTAGATCAGCTGTTACATAAGATGTATCATTTTTCCCACAAAACTCTTTCAGTACCTAACTACGCACCCTACAATTATTGCCAATTGAAAGACAATATAACCTTTCATTTTCTTCTTTTACATATATTTATTATAGTAATCTTTCATTTCTGAATTATTAGTGTGAACTATATTACTTAACTGTTTCAGTCTCATAGAATGTTTGTTGAACCCCCTCAGACCTAAGCATAACCCTTTGGAATAGGAGTTGAATTAACTTCTTGGGACCGAAAGAGTTGAATCAGCTGTGACATAAAACTGATAGTATTCCCTTATTAGATCAGTCACAGCATTGGACTCTTTTCCACACCTTCAGGTATATTGAGCATACAGGGTTTGACCTATATTTCAAAGAGCAGTCGGCACTCTGGGGGTGATATGGTCAACGACATCATGTCGGCCACCTTTACTTCCTAGGTATTAGATCAGCTGTTGCGTAAAATGTCTTATGTAACTCAGTTAAGTCAGCTGTTACATTAAACTTATTTTAAACTACAAGGTCTGACAATTAAGTAATGAGACTGATTTTATTATGGCCAACACAAAAATGCCATCTATAAAGCAAATCATGGAATCTAAAGAGGCAACATTCATCTATGATCTGGCAACTTCTCATCGCCGCTCGATAAGCAGACAACAAACAAGCCGCCATTTTGTTGACCTTTTCAGATGTGCATAGTTATGTAATCAGCACAGAACAAAAAGCTGACATTAAAATCTTTTTAAAACCCAGAAAAAGTGCCATTGGAACAGTTGAATTGATGCAACAAGTTTATGGGTATAATTATTTATCTCAGGCGCAAATTTTCAGGTGGCATTCATGATTCAAAAGTGGTTTGGAAATTATTACTTATGCACCTAGACCTGAATGCCAAATTTCTGTTCGTGATGTGGAACTACTTGCAAAAGAGAACACAAACAAGATCATTGTTTTACTGTGAGGATGATGGCAGATGAATCTGGTGTTAACAGAGAGACCATTCATAACATTTTAGTGCAAAATTTATGGCAAGAAAAAAGTTGCTTGCCGGTTTGTACCACACTCTTTGTCTTATGACCAAAAACATCAGCGGGTTGAGTCCCCAAGAGACATCATCAAAACAAGAATTGTTGGCCCAGAAACAAGTGTGTGTTCTCAGCCTTCACCCCCTATTCTCCAGATTTGTCTTCCTGTGATTATTTTCCATTCCCAAAATCAAAGTCACAATTGAAAGGACGCTTCTGTAATGATATTAATGACATCCAAAGGGCCGTAACATCGACTTTAAAGGCCATAACAACAGGAGAACTATAGAGGTCATTCCAGTGTTTGTTAGATTGTGCCACTTGCTGTATCAATGCATGAGTTGTTAAGGCTCGCTATACTTTGAATTGAGGGCATTGTAAATACCGAATGGGAGAAATGTGGCTTTTCGCTTCGGGGACCACAAGGAATAGTGGAGCCAACTACGCTAGAGAGACTGGCGTATCAATGCATAAAGGGCTTACTTTGAATTAGGGCTGTACCGAATCGAATATTGGACCTGTTGACTATTCGGTATTCGGTCGAATAGTTGTGGTCGGGCCGAATACGAATAGTAGTTACCTCACACCCGTTTCTGCATACACAGCTTAATGCTGACAACATGGAACGATTGGTTTTGTGGAAAGCTAATGCAGCTTTCCTGCATTAACTAAGCTGTCAGTGACAATTTCCAAGTTTAGTTACTTGTTATAATACTTAGGATTCTTTTAATCCTAGTTATTAGCTACTACAGACTGACTGAAGGGTGCAGAACATAAATGTTTTTAAACGTTTACTATTCTGTACGAATACTAACAAGACATGGAAAGAATATAAACTCCGGCCAAAAACAAGTCGATAATATGAAAATCAAACGAACGGAAATATATAAGTACTTGGGTGCAAACTTTAACTGCTCCAACATGCTGAGAGAAGAAATGCAATCTAGAAATAAAGTGTTCTATGCCCTTCAACATCTGCTAAAGTCAAAGTGTCTGTCTCGCAACACCAAGATCAAAATATATAAAACTTTGAAAAGACCTGTTGTTTTATTGACTCTGAAACTTGAAGCAGAAATAAAAGAGATGTGGCCTTATTACAGGTTTTCGAAAACAGTTCTACGACAAATCGTTGGACCCATCAAAGATGCTAACAGCGGGGAATGGAAAGTCAGAAGCAACAACGTAACACACAATCTGTTTAAATCGCCATTGATCACTAGCATCATGAGAGCTAACAGACTAAAATGGTTTGGGCATATTGAAAGAATGTCAGAAGACAGAGAAGTAATACTGTATACGCCTGAGAGAGGAATAGGCGCAGACCACGAGGCAGACAAAAAAATAAGTTCGAGAGATAATGTCCAGCCAGACCTGCAAACAACTGGTGTCACAAATTGTGAAGATAAGGTCAGAGAGATGAATGGAGATGAGTGATATCCGCAGCAGTAAACCTCAAGGGCTCAGAATGCTAAAGAAGAAGATGACTATTCTGTGCTACTTTATGTGAAGTAAAAGTTCAGCGTACATTTGACATTATAAATGTGTGTTTTTTAGATATATTTTATACACCATACACTATTCGTTTTCGGCCGAATAGTGAAAATCACTATTCGGTACAGCCCTACTTTGAATCAGATACAGGTTATATCTTCAACTGTCGATTATTTAAATTTTTATGGAATTAGTGTCATTACTTAATTGTCAGACCTTGTATTATAAAGTCTTGTGGGGGGGGGGGGGGGGGGGGGTGGAGATATTGGAAGATTGTTATTGCACAGTTGTATGCAAACAGTGTATATGTGAAAAGCCAAACATGTAAAAGACAAGTGTTGTTGAGAGATGTGATTAGCCATGCCTAAAGAAATATTTGGTTTTCTTTACAAATGGCTGTGTGTTGGGGGCAACAGATAGAAGTGTGCACGGTGGTTCTTAGTAAAAGCGAATGTAAGTCGCTTCGTGAAACAAACTTGGCAAAGAGTATCACAACTTCTAGTTTGAGAGTGGAGGTGGCTACTGCAGCTTGAGAACCAGTTGTAGGCAAATATCATGATTGTAACTGACTCATAGAGCATATTGATAAAAAAGTTAAGACAAGTATGCTTCAAGTGGCATGCGTCGCCTCAGAATTCCTTCATAGTTAGCATCCTTTGAATATTTTCTCCAGGGTATGCTGTTGTGTTGGGAAATGAACAAGCAGACTGGCTGGTCTGCACCACTTAATGGTTAATGGTGCATGACAAGCTAGAGGATGTAAGGAGCGAGTAACCGTGCAGAGGCACAGATAGATCATCATGGTTTAAAGAGAATAGTGCTGCGAGGACTGACCAGGGGATCAGGCCGGCACTAAACTCAGAGATGCGGCGAGGTAGGCGTATAATCAGACTTTTACTGTGCCACTGGAATTGGAACTCTATGACTATGCTTGCTGCTGAAGATAGGGACGGAGTGCTTATGGGAATGTCATAAGTGCTGTGATGTCAGTTTTAACTCTTAACCCATAAAGAATAATTATTTTTGCTCTCATATATTGGCAAGTAATCAGAATCCAAACAGGCAGCTGTCAGTAGATTAGCTTATTGTGTGCATCTAATATCTCCACAGTCATGCCAGTTCCTTAAAGTCACCACTCCATGGTCTGTGGGAACCAAATGATTTAGTAAGTGAATATTTTTTCTTTTGATATCTGTTCACTTGGAACAGTAGGAATTCTATAATATTCCAAAAAAGGCAGCTGCATCAAGCAACAAGGATGTGGAGTCTGTGTATTTTGTTAACTTATTTTAATATATGTATTGTCCACCTGTTTCTTCATTGCTGCTTAAATATTGTTTATGATTCCGGCTCTTGATATGAAGTTTCACCTCCTTATATTGCTTTGTGCAGTATGAATTTTTAGATCTAATTGTTGTGGCCTCCCTTGTTTATTTTTCTTGAATTTGATTGGGGCATGAGGTTAGTATTTGTAAGCGAAGTCCAGATCATCAATTTTTCTGACAGAGTAAATTGAATTCTGATATCCCTGAAATAACAGACTGCAACGGATAAGGAAACCAGTCATGGGGATGATAACCTCAAAATCGAAGGCAGCTATTGTTTATATTTATAATCATGGGAGATCATTGTTTACCTACACAGAGCTACTGATTTTGCATCTACAGAAATTTGAACCAGACATTCCTGAGTTTAAAGAGCTACACATCCGTATGAAAGGTTATGACTATCCTATACTGGAATCATACGCTAAATATGTTCACAGAGTGGTGAAGGTCATGTTTAACCTGGATTCTGATGCGTGAGTAGTTTTAATGTCTGCCTCGCTGTCTGTAACCCGTTCTGTGTCAGGTACTTTATGTTGACAAAAAGAACTGGAGAAATATGTCTAGGGAAACAGTGTTAGCTCCAGATACCTCATGTGCCAGTGGCATGAAGAGGGTCCTTGAAGTTACAGACATGTCAAAAGGAGCCGATCTTCTTCTTCTTCTTGTGCTGGCTTTCTGATTTACACCGACACACACATTCTTGTGACTGTTTTTAGGAGTTCCCTTTTAGTTCCAGACAACTTTGAGTGCAGTGTTGACTCATTGAGCCAGTATGCCCTTCTTAATGGGTTGTACAAGGGACATTCTTGCAGGACATGTTCTGTAGTCTGTTCACAGGCCACAGAGGTGAACTACTTAGACATAGCTTGTGCATATGCTTGTTAAGTTTGTTATGTCCTGTCCTGAGGCAAATTATAAGGACTTGCCCTTGCCGGTCAAGTAAGTGGTAGTCATTTCTGGCCAGACTGTTCACTTCTGATAGACTAGGTGGCCCCTTTCTTCTCATAGTATGTTACTGCATTCTCTTCACGTTCACATTATGCCCCTTTCTTAGCAAGTTTATCTGCGGTTTCATTTCCTGATGTATCACAGTGGGATGGCACCCATTGGAGTACAGTACACTTTTGGGCAGCCACCTTGCCAAGTTCAGATCTCCTGTTGACCACTCTTTGGGGCTTGGAGCACCAACAGCATGTCTGTAAAGATGACCACTTGCTGGCAGTCGGAACTGGTGTTGTAACATTTTGCAACCTGCACTAGTGCTAGGATCTCTGCTGTGTAGTTGGAACACAATTTACTAGTGGGTCTATACTTTGTGTAGCTGTGGTTGTCTGGGTATGTGATAAAGAAAGCCGATATCAAGAAGTGGGTTAAAGTAGAAATTCTCAAAGAAAAGTTCAAATAACAAACCAATATAAGCATTAAAGTAGTTAATTATTTTTGACTGTTTTTAAAACAAGGTTTTTACATAATATTTTCACTGCAAAATGCTTTCAAACAAATCAGAAATGAGCAGCTCAAGGTCTTTATGCATGAAACAGGACACTCTGAACTAAATTTCCACCTTCATTAAATGTGTTTGGAGAATTATTCTCTTTTTCTGCTGTAAAAGTAAAGTACCCTGCTCTATGGGTCATCATGTTTCTGTGAAGCAAGCAGAATGTCTTTCCTCTCCAGCTATCTCAGGTCTTGTGCCTGATATTAAAAGTTTGATTTGATCTTTATCATCTTATGTTCCCCTGTGGATGTTGGCATACACCAGTAACACACAGACATGCTCCAAGTTGATTTAACAGCCGCTGTTAGGACAGATTGGATAAGGTACCTGCAGCAAAAATCATCTGATGCTGTTCATCACAAGAGCTTATTTAAAAGAGTTCTGTAATTTCACACAGTTATAATACTGACATTTCAGAACATTTTAGAGGGGTACGGCAAGGATGTGTACTATCACCTGATTTGTTTTCATTGTACTGTGAATATATAATGAGATTTATTATAGATATGCCAGGAATTGTGGTTGGTGGTCATAACATAAACAGCCTGCATTATGCTGATGACACCGCCTTGATAGCAACAAGTCAGAAAGAACTACAGGAATTGATAGATACGGTGGTGATAGAAAGTGATAAAATGGGCTTGAATAATGGGAAGACAGAAGTAATGGTGATTTCCAAGAAGAGAATAATACCTAAATGTTTAATAAGTCAAAGCATAATTTTAGGTCAAGTACAGACATTTAAGTGTCTAGGCATAGGGATGATATCCGATGGAAGATGTATCACAGAGATAAAGTACTGAATAGGACAAGTACAGACATTTAAGTGTCCAGGCATAGGGATGATATCCGATGGAAGATGTATCACAGAGATAAAGTACTGAATAGGACAAGTACAGACATGTAAGTGTCTAGGCATAGGGATGATATCCGATGGAAGATGTATCACAGAGATAAAGTACTGAATAGGACAAGCCAAAACTACCCTTACAAATGAACATTTTATGCAAAAAATCTGTCATTGGAGATTAGGTCAAGAATTCTCGCAAGCTATATAGAGCCAGTTTTAACATAACGGCTGTGAATCCTGGACAATTAATAAACAAGCCAGAACAATATCTTGAGGCCGTGGAGATGTGGTTTTACAGAAGAATTCCTTAGAATTCCTTGGACAGCTAAGAAGAGTAACCCAAATATTTTGAAAGAGGCAGGTGCTCGAAAGACAACTTATTACAAACATTAGAAAGAGACAGTCATCATTTTTTGGCCATGTTATGAAAAGAGGAAAGATAGAACATGTTGTTACCACTGGAAAGATATGTGGAAAGAGAGCAGGGGAAGACAACACAAGAAGATTCTTGACAGCCTTCAACACACAAACTGATAAACGCAGTTGTGGATTGCAGATTGTGGAGGAGCATGATCTCCCACGCCAGTCATCAAGGCACTTTATGACAATAACACTGACGATAGTATGTGACTTTTAACTCGCTTTTATATTTTCACGCTCTCACTGTCACCTCCATCCCTTTTCAAACTGTAGTTGGCCATCACCAGCAAAATCCGTGCAGATCCGAACTTTTCTCCCAGGCTCCACATCTGTTAACCAGAAGTATGAGCTCAGTGAATATGTCAGAACTGTTGCAGTAAGTTGTTGCATTTCCAATATGAGTATGTAAAACTATATGTATGTTACATGTAGCTATATGTTGCCTACATAAAGCTATACTTTGTTGTTATGTAAAACTATATATTTCCATTACATAAAGCTATACATTCCCATAATGGGAAGTTATACATGTCTAATATGTATAACTACATTTTCATTACATGAAACTACATTTTGTATTGCATCAGACTGTATATTTCCATTAAATGAAACTATACTGTATATGAAACTATGAATTAATAACATTCTTAGTGTCTATTTGGAAATATGCACAATTTCTATAGAGTCCTGCACCGCCTGCTGGAGTTGAACATCTCTGACCCAAACTCAGGGCCTCTACAAGTTACCAGGCAAAAGGGAAATATTGTGGTTTTTGGTTCTAAATATAACTTCTGGCTACTGTACTTCATCTACCTCTTCTTCCTGTTCACCGGCTGTATACTGCGGTGGAAGATTCTGGTTTGTCTTCAGTTTCTGGACTCTAGTCTTGTCCCAGGGCTCATTTGCATGCAGACTGTTGGTTCCTTGCCTCTCAGGCAGATGTACTCTGACTTTGAAGGAAGCTCCGAATGAGTCAACTATTATGACATGCTTTTGTGGAGGCAGTGGGTCCATTCTTGTGTTCCCTATAATAGGGCCCTGGAACCCACATGCAGAGTTGTTCTTGTCTGGTGAATCTTTCTCCTGAGTATTATGTACTAAAGGCATTGTCCTGTCATTCAACTTGCAACTTGGCCAGGCATGCATCAGTCTTCTTCTTCACATTGATCAACTGTCAACTCTGGTGGACAAGGCTAGTTGTCATCCACTTCCAGACTTTGATCTTGTCCCAGAACGTGAATTTTATGTGCACACTAATTTTACAGTAAAATTGTGTGCAGACTATTGGTACCTTACCTCTCAAAAAGATTTACTACAACTTTCAAGGATTCACCCCTGATTTGTTGCAGTTTACAACATGCTTGTTAGAATGTGCGTCCCCCCCCCTCCCCACACACTTTTTTATAGGGTAGGGAAGCATCAGTAGTCAGGTGCCATCTCTATGATGAATGTTGGCTGTTGTGGGTCTCCAACACTTTTTCTCTCATCCTTATATTCACTCTTTTATCCTCCTTTTACTTTTTTTTACACTTATGTTATCATCCCAGTTGTAGCACTGTATAACTCTTGCTTGTTTGTCTTCCATGTTTTTCTTTAGTATGGTTTTTATGTTTTGTATTGTGGCCAAAATATCTCAGTTTTTTAACCCCCCCCCCCCCCCCCCCCCCCCCCCCCCCCCCCCCCCCCCCCCCATTTTTGTCACTTCTTTGTCATTCCCATTCTGATCAAAATTGAAAGTTTCCTGCAGCTCTAGAAGCCCGATAAACCTGGTTGTATTGAAGAAACTTGACAAGTTATCAGATATTACTAGCCCAGAATTCAAACAAGTCTAACTCTCAGGTATTTATCTCTGCAAGTCTCATTGTTTTATTGAGAGAGGTCTTTACTTTGTAACTTTATCAGCATCTTTTCCATGGTATGTTGACCTCAGTGGAGGGATGCCTGTCTCATGTGGGTCTGTGCTGGTGTCACAGAGCTCAGTGCAGGACTTTGCCACCTGTCCTTGTCTCACGCTTTATGTGTCCATTACAGATCCAAAGTAAAAATGTCAGAGTTCATATAATGCATGTTTTTTATACACAAACTTTCATTTAAAGGCAATTAGGTACTCAGTTTTCTTCAAAAAATTACCTCCAAAATGAGGGTGTGTCTTATACTCCAAACTATATCCAATTTCCTGCGAAAACAATTTTAGATCCATCTTTAGTCTTATGATCAGTAAAAAGTGTGTGTATGTATATATATTTTAAAAAAATGGGGGGGGGGTGTAACCACTTATCTGTTCATCTTTACTTGCATGCAGAGACAAATGTACCATAATGGAAGAAATAACCTGTAAATTATTAACTCATCTAGGCTTAATTGTGAGACAGTAAGGGCTTTGAAGGCAGTATTGTCCTTCCTTTTTTAGAAGTTATGTTCTAGTGTTAATATTTAGCATGAGTCCTAATGAATTTATTGATACTGAAAACAAACTGTTAAAATGACAAATGCATGAAACATGATATAACTAACACACTGTTTGTGTCACTGCACGAAAATTCCCAATGTGCAGTGGCCTAGATTGTGACAATGTAAGAAAAAATAATACTCTATGTTGTTGAACTACAGGCAGAGAATGTCCCAACAACAACAGTTCCCATACTTCTGCAATTTATTCAGAAGAATTGCCCACAAGGGATTCAAGTTGCCTTAAAAGAGGTAGTTCTGTTTTTCTGGTCAGGATGTTTTTATTTCAGTTTATATTTAAAGTTTCTATAGATTCTATTTATTGATAATCGTCATGTTTTCATATATAGAAGCTGTCCTAATGCTTTGATGTTATGCATTGTACGAGAAAATTAACATATGTGTTGTTTCAATATGTCTGCCACCAGTGAGGTCAGGTAAATAATGCAAAGTAGTAAAGGTGGCTGGAGAGATATTTAAATCATCCCATCAAATGTCTATCAGTGTATAGAACATATGGTTCTTGCACCATGTGCCTCATACACCTACAGTATAAAACATATGAGTCTTGCACCACGTGCCTCATACACCTACAGTATAAAACAAATGGGTCTTGCACTATGTGCCTCATACACGTACAGTATAAAACATATGGGTCTTGCACTATGTGCCTCATACACCTACAGTATAAAACATAAGGGTCTTGCACTATGTGCCTCATACACCTACAGTATAAAACATATGGTTCTTGCACCATGTGCCTCATACACCTACAGTATAAAACATATGGGTCTTGCACTATGTGCCTCATACACCTACAGTATAAAACATATGGGTCTTGCACTATGTACCTCATACACCTACAGTATAAAACATATGAGTCCTGCACTATGTGCCTCATACACCTACAGTATAAAACATATGGGTCTTGCACCATGTGCCTCATACACCTACAGTATAAAACATATGAGTCTTGCACCACGTGCCTCATACACCTACAGTATAAAACATATGGGTCTTGTACCATGTGCCTCATACACCTACAGTATAAAACATATGAGTCTTGCACTATGTGCCTCATACACCTACAGTATAAAACATGAGTCTTGCACTATGTGCCTCATACACCTACAGTATAAAACATATGAGTCTTGCACCACGTGCCTCATACACCTACAGTTTAAAACATATGAGTCTTGCACCATGTGCCTCATACACCTACAGTATAAAACATGAGTCTTGCACCACGTGCCTCATACACCTACAGTATAAAACATATGAGTCTTGCACCACGTGCCTCATACACCTACAGTATAAAACATATGAGTCTTGCACTATGTGCCTCATACACCTACAGTATAAAACATGAGTCTTGCACTATGTGCCTCATACACCTACAGTATAAATCATATGAGTCTTGCACTATGTGCCTCATACACCTACAGTATAAAACATATGAGTCTTGCACCATGTGCCTCATACACCTACAGTATAAAACATATGAGTCTTGCACTATGTGCCTCATACACCTACAGTATAAAACATATGAGTCTTGCACCATGTGCCTCATACACCTACAGTATAAAACATATGAGTCTTGCACTATGTGCCTCATACACCTACAGTATAAAACATATGAGTCTTGCACCATGTGCCTCATACACCTACAGAATAAAAAAGATCCTTTATATTAGATTACAACAGCTCACAGAAGCCAGCTGCAGGCCTCGGAAATGAGATACCTGAGAAAGGTGGTCCAAGTGACAAGAAGGGACAAAGTCCGCAATCAGACAATACGTCAAGATCTTGATACCCAGCCCTTACTAACCCGAGTGGATCAGTCACAGTTACGATGGTTTGGACATGTGTGCAGAATGGGAGAAAATCGGCCACCATGGCAAGCATGGGAGGCTAAGAACCAGGGAACCAGACCTCCGGGACGACCCAGGGTGCGCTGGGAAGACAACATCCGACAGTCCCTGACTGACAGAGGAGTGGAATGGAACAAAGCCAGAAAGAAAACTGCTGATAGAGACGTCTGGCGATCTCTCTGGCAAACCTCTACACCCCAAGGTAGAAGAGGAACGACTAAGTAAGTAAGTAAGTATATTAGATTAATGTCCTCACTCTTAAAGGATGTATCCTGTCATTAATTTGTTTTGTTTTTTTTTTTACATCTTTTAAGATTTTATTTGAAAATTCTAGGATGGTTTTCTTTAGTATATATCTGATAATCAGTTGTCTTTTGTTTGTTTCTAGCCTGACCCTGAAGATGATGAGTTCCGATATGTTCCAGATTATGAAATTCTGGAACTACAAGCTCAGAAGGAAGCTATAGCATCTGGAAAAATAATTAAGAAATGAGTTTTTTGTTTTCTTTAAAAATGTGAAATTGTAAACTTGATGGCTATTAAAAAACCACAGAAGAGTTGACTCTTTTATTTATTTATATGTATTTTATTGGTAACTGCAGTTAAATGTTGCGCAAGCCAAGTCAAAGAGAATGAAATGATAGATTACAGCCTATAGAAACCATTTATAACAGGCAGATTCTTTACACTCCCTGTATGTTTAACTTAGTATTTTCATAACACAGGAGAATTTCTTACTCCAAGAACTTCATTACTGGGTATCTGGAATTTCAAGAGAAATTGGTTCAAAGGGGTAAACGTGTTTATCAAACAATCGCAGAGTCGTGTCCATTGCCTGGTTCTGTGTCACTGTCTGTCTGCTGACTTTCCATGGAACCTGTGGAGGAAATGTGAAACCCATCTCATCTTCCTGTTTGTTGTGTGCACAAGACTATCTCTAGTAGTGTTGAACAAAAAAATCATCATCAATCAGTGAGAACAAGTAAACATCTAAATCTGTTTTAACTTCTTTTACTACAGAAATTACTGTCAGTTTCTGATCCATATATTTCCCATGTGGGTTTCAAGGACCCATTATTTTTTTTTTTGGGGGGGGGGGGGGGGGGGGGGGGGGCAAAGAATATACCCACTGCCTCTCTAACAAGCATGTCATACAAGGTGACTATTTAGGGGAGTTTCCTTCAGTGTCAGAGTGCACCTGCCTGAGAGGCAAAGAATCAACATTCGGCACACACAAAAGTCATATCTGTCCTACGGATGTGCACGCAAAACTAAAGTTGTGGAAAAATACAAACACCCGGAAATGGACAAATAACCAGAGCTTTTCACAGCCAGTGAACGCAAAAAACAAGTCTCCTTATATAATGATACTGTCAAGTATGTGCCACGAAGTTTGTGCCATGAGAAAATGGCACATGGGGTAATATGGAATCAATCAGGACAGTTGTTAGCCTAAAAAGACAAACTCAGGAGGAGATCGCAGCACTTCTGGTCATGTGAGATGTAGATGATCTTTAAAAATGAATATGGTGAATACTGTTATCATTCTGCTCCTTCCTCCCCCGTGTTTCACAGGCAATCAATCATCTCACACAAAACCATTCTACATGCTGCTCTCACATATCCATTGAATTCCATGTCTAGAGGGATTCTATGTCTGGTGGGTATTCCACATCTAGTGGTATTTAAATGTATGTAGGTATTCCATGTATGAAGTATTTAATGTATGGTGGTATTCCATGTATAGAAGTATTCCATGTCTGATGATATTCCATGTATGGAAGTATTTCATGTATGGAAGTATTCTTTATATGAAAGTATTTCATGCCCATGTGGTATTCCATGTCTGATGGTTTTCCATGTTTGGTGGTTGTAATAATGAAAAACAACTGTGTCAACTCCACAATTGAGTCTGGCGTAATGTATCCACCGCTGACTATGGTGATGAAGTCCCATTCTCTTCCACGGTGTGACTCTCATACCACTGAAAGCCATTAAAATGGTGTTTTTCCAAATTGCCCATTGCGGGGTAACAAACCTTGGTAAATATCGAGGGTTGCATTGTGAAAATATTTCACTAACCTCGAAGCCACCACCTCATCAGCTTCTCACATAATTAGCTGGTGCTTGTTTTTATGAGCGCGGGTTTACTCTAGCACTGTTGAAGTGAAGAGCTCCTTTTCAGATTGAGGAATATTGGATATATGGTTCTCCACATTTTTAGATAAATCGGCATGCGCTGGGTGATTTGTAAATATTATTTGAATTGCCTTTACTTCTCAGGAGATTTACTGTCATTTCTTTTAAGGTAAGTCAATATGAGAGGTTGGGGAAGTGGAATAAAAATCCTGTAACCTTGAAAATTTGAGATTACCTGGCTGGCAGGCAAGCACAGTGAACCTGGCTGCACTTGTCAGAACAATTAATTTTGCCAAAGGCTGGGACTAGAACCTAACCCAGCCACCTGTGAACCTGACCGCACATGTCAAAACAATTAATTCTGCCACAGCTGGGACTTGAACCTGACTGCACTTGTCAGAACAATTAATTCTGCCACAGCTGGGACTTGAACCTAACCCAGCCACTTCTGAACCTGACCGCACATGTCAAAACAATTAATTCTGCCACAGCTGGGACTTGAACCTGGCTGCACTTGTCAGAACAGTTAATTTTGCCACAGCTGGGACTTGAACCTAACCCAGCCACTTGTGAACCTGACCGCACATGTTAGAAAAATTAATTCTGCCACAGCTGGGACTTGAACTGAGCCACCAAAGCATGATCACCATAATGTAAATACTTCACTGATGAGACTGAGCAGGTTTACTGTGGCTTTTCCCTGATCCACACTTCTAGCCTCAGTTTTTCACATACAGTGTAAATACTGAGTTGTGGGCAGGTTTCAAACTGAGCTGTTGCTAAAGTTGTGTGTGTGAGCTATATGCCTTACTCTGAATGGCTAAGAATACCAACAGATTATATGTATATAACTTACTATCTTTAAACCTTGTACAAGGCACCAGTCCAAAGCCAAGAGCTCTATGTGAAGTCAATCTAACACCAAGAACACTACAGGAAGTATATCCAACAGTAGGAGATAAATGGTGATGCAATATCACCCCATCCAACACCAAGAGCTCTATAGAAAGTAGGATATCCAATCCAACACCAAGAGCTCTATAGAAAGTAGGATATCTAATCCAACACCAAGAGCTCTATAGAAAGTAGGATATCCAATCCAACACCAAGAGCTCTATAGAAAGTAGGATATCCAATCCAATCCAACACCCAAGAGCTCTATAGAAAGTAGGATATCCAATCCAACACCAAGAGCTCTATAGAAAGTAGGATATCCAATCCAACACCAAGAGCTCTATAGAAAGTAGGATATCCAATCCAACACCAAGAGCTCTATAGAAAGTAGGATATACAATCCAACACCAAGAGCTCTATAGAAAGTAGGATATCCAATCCAACACCAAGAGCTCTATAGAAAGTAGGATATCCAATCCAACACCAAGAGCTCTATAGAAAGTAGGATATCCAATCCAACACCAAGAGCTCTATAGAAAGTAGGATATCCAATCCAACACCAAGAGCTCTATAGAAAGTAGGATATCCAATCCAACACCAAGAGCTCTATAGAAAGTAGGATATCCAATCCAACACCAAGAGCTCTATAGAAAGTAGGATATCCAATCCAACACCAAGAGCTCTATAAAAAGTAGGATATCCAATCCAACACCAAGAGCTCTATAGAAAGTAGGATATCCAATCCAACACCAAGAGCTCTATAGAAAGTAGGATATCCAATCCAACACCAAGAGCTCTATAGAAAGTAGGATATCCAATCCAACACCAAGAGCTCTATAGAAAGTAGGATATCCAATCCAACACCAAGAGCTCTATAGAAAGTAGGATATCCAATCTAACACCAAGAGCTCTATTGGAAGTAGGATATCCAATCCAACACCAAGAGCTCTATAGAAAGTAGGATATCCAATCCAACACTGAGAGCTCTAGGAAGTAGGATATCCAATCCAACACCAAGAGCTCTATAGAAAGTAGGATATCCAATCCAACACCAAGAGCTCTATAGAAAGTAGGATATCCAATCCAACACAAGAGCTCTATAGGAAGTAGGATATCCAATCCAACACCAAGAGCTCTATAGAAAGTAGGATATCCAATCCAACACCAAGAGCTCTATAGAAAGTAGGATATCCAATCCAACACCAAGAGCTTTTTAGGAAGTAGGATATCCAATCCAACACCAAGAGCTCTATAGAAAGTAGGATATCCAATCCAACACCAAGAGCTCTATAGAAAGTAGGATATCCAATCCAACACCAAGAGCTCTATAGAAAGTAGGATATCCAATCCAACACTAAGAGCTCTATTTTTTTTTTTTATTAATCGATCACCGGCTGTGAATTCCAGTGGAAGGTCCCGGTTAATCGTCCGCTTGGACTTTTGGCTTTCACCTGGACCTGATTTTTGCGTGTACAACCGTTTTTCATTTCCCTGCCTCATGGGCAGCTGTACTCCGATCTATAGAAAGTAGGATATCCAATCCAACACCAAGAGCTCTATAGAAAGTAGGATATCCAATCCAACACCAAGAGCTCTATAGAAAGTAGGATATCCAATCCAACACCAAGAGCTCTATAGAAAGTAGGATATCTTATCCAACACCAAGAGCTCTAGGAAGTAGGATATCCAATCCAACACCAAGAGCTCTATAGAAAGTAGGATATCCAATCCAACACCAAGAGCTCTATAGAAAGTAGGAGATCCAATCCAACACCAAGAGCTCTATAGGAAGTAGGATATCCAATCCAACACCAAGAGCTCTATAGAAAGTAGGATGTCCAATCCAACACCAAGAGCTCTATAGAAAATAGGATATCCAATCTAACACCAAGAGCTCTATAGAAAGTAGGATATCCAATCCAACACCAAGACCTCTATAGAAAGTAGGATATCCAATCCAACACCAAGAGCTCTATAGGAAGTAGGATATCCAATCCAACACCAAGAGCTCTAGGAAGTAGGATATCTAATCCAACACCAAGAGCTTTTTAGGAAGTAGGATATCCAATCCAACACCAAGAGCTCTATAGAAAGTAGGATATCCAATCCAACATCAAGAGCTCTATAGGAAGTAGGATATCCAATCCAACAGTAAGAGCTCTAAAGGAAGCAGGATTTCCAATTCAACACCAAGAGCTCTATAGGAAATATGATATCCAATCCAACACTGAGAGCTCTAGGAAGTAGGATATCCAATCCAACACCAAGAGCTCTAGGAAGTAGGATAATCCATCCAACACCAAGAGCTCTAGGAAGTAGGATATACAATCCAACACCAAGAGCTCTATAGAAAGTAGGATATCCAATCCAACACTGAGAGCTCTAGGAAGTAGGATATCCAATCCAACACTGAGAGCTCTAGGAAGTAGGATATCCAATTCAACACTGAGAGCTCTAGGA